TTTTTCTGCAGCAAATGGACAAAAAAAGCTGTTTAAAGTTGATTTCTGTGCGTTTTTATTCAGAAATAGTTTAAAACTAGCTAAGAGAAGCAGGAAAAAGTGTCTTTTCTAACCTTTTCTCTCTTGAATTTAGTCTCTCAAACAACTGGAGGGAAAAAAAGAGTTTTAAAGTTTATTTCTGTGCTTTTTTGAAATAGAAAATAGTGTAAAACTAGTAGAGAGAAGCAGGAAAAGTTTATTTTCTCTCCTCTCTCCAACAACTGGAGCCAAAAAGCTCGTTTAAAGTTTATTTCTGTGTTTTTTTTTTATTCAGAAATGGTTTAAAACTAGCTAAGAGAAGCAGGAAAAGTGTCTTTTCTGTCCTCTCTTGAATTTTCCTTCATTCCTCAGAGTAGTCTCCCCAGCAACCAGATAAAAAAGCTATTTTAAAGTTAATTTCTGTGCTTTTTTAAAATAAAAAATAGTTTAAAACTAGCAGAGTGAAACAGGGAAGTGTCTCTCTAAACTTTTCTCTCCTCTTGAATTTAGTCTCTCCACGGCAACCGGAGAAAAAAGCTGTTTTAAAGTTAATTTCTGTGCTTTTTCTATTCAGAAATAGTTTAAAAAAAGCAGGAAAAGTTGGTGGATTTTTTCCTACAGCAACTTAAACCCGGTTTAGATAAACTTATGTGCCTTGTTTGTGTTTGGAAAGTTTCCAACTAGAGCAGAGAGAAGCTGCGAAGTGTCTTTTATTTCCTCTCTCGAACTTTCCCTCATTCTTCCTGGTTCTCCACGGCAACCGGATAAAAAAAGCTGCTTTAAAGTTAAATTCTGTCCTTTTTCTAATCAAAAACAGTCAAAAACCAGCAGACAGAAGCTGGGAATTGTTACTTATTTCACTTTTTCTGTCTTCTGTTCAATATTTCTTCAGCAACTGAAGGAAAAAAGCAGTTTTAGAGTTAATTTCTGCCATTTTTTAAAATAAAAACAGTGTAAAACCAGCAGAGAGAAGCAGAAAAAGTGTCTTTTCTAACTTTTTCTCTGCTCCTCTGGA